GGCGGGTTTGCCTACCCACTCTGCCCGTAAGGCGCCATAGCCCCTTGGGTAGGCGAACCCGCCCGCACCTGTGTCTTCTTTGAAACACCCGGTACAGAAGGGGCGTGGGGGCCCCCACGTTTGCAACTACAAAGCTTTAGCTAAAACCGACCCGGCCACAGGCAGATTCATCCGAATCGCATGCAGAAAAAACACAAATTCCACCCGGCGCCGTAAATATAGGTAATATGTGCACGCCCTTTTCTCACGACACCCCATCCCCCACCCAGACAAAAAAAAAATAATTGAATGGGGGCCGTACACCGCAGTCGTTGGTGTCTTCGGGCTTCGGGCAGCGCGCGGCGCGGGAACAGCCGTTTCCAACCACAAGCAGTGCCAAGGTGCCAGGAAAACGGGCGACGGGCGACGCAGGGAATTCCCACGTCTCGCATTCGCCGTGGTTCTAGTGCGCTACAACTGTGTAGCTGCAAACGATGCTCAAAGTATTCGAACCCGCGATTGAAAACCGCACTGCTGTAACGACTACGTTTACTCATTTAGCAAACGTTACACCGTTGGTCACGCGCCGGACGTAACGTTGGGCGGCCTGAGCCGGAGGGCTGCTCTTTTCCCCCGTCCGATAGGAACCGCTGGTTCGCCTCTTATCGTCCCCCATCGGCTCGGCTTAACTCTTATTTCAAACAGACCCCCCTCCACACCATCCCCCTTTTCCTCTCCCTCGTACACAGACCAAGTTGACCGGTGCAAATAACAAGTGCACTTGTGGTTTATGTGGTGCTTGTGTGTATGCAGTTCCGAGCACAATAGCTGTAGTCCGTGCATTTTGTGTTCAGAAAAAATAAAAATCAATCGGTCGCTATGTGGCCCTAAGGTCTAGCTAGGGGCTAGCGCTAGCGCAGTGGGGCGGCAGGACGTGGCAGGTCGGCGCGTAACCACCTGGTGCTGGGCGTCGATGTATCGATCGCCGCGGGTATCGATGCGGTCAGCGCCGCGATGCCGCCGCAGCGCCTCCGTCTCGGACGACACGCTGACCTCTCGATTCCCTCAGGGCGACGGCGGCTAGTGGCGCGGCCTGGCGCGGCGCGGCCGGGGCGGCCGGGGACGCTCGGCTCGGCCCCGCCCCGCGATGGACCACCGGGACGACGACAGCGGCCTGGGCGCCGTCCAGGACGCCGACGACGCCGACCTGCTGCTCGGCGCGGTCCGCGACCACCACGACTACGCCAAGCGGCGGCGCTCGGGCTCGGACCGTGAGAACAATGTGGTCTCCGAGCTGGACGAGCTGTCGCTGCCCGTGCCGAAGAAGAGCAAGGCTGTGGCGGGCAGTAAGGGCCTCGGCAAGGGCCGACAGCTGCGGGACCCGGAGGGCGGCACCTACATCTCGGCGCGGTCGCGGGCTCGGAAATGTGAGTGCTGAGGGGTGCTGCTTGCTTAATGCGTTTGTCGGAGTTTGTGGCGGGTTTGGTGCGCCGCACTGCATGCTGTAAACGTTCCGTCACTTTTTACGGTCCGTCAGCTCCGCTGCCCATGAAGCTCCGCGCGCTGCCCGCGTCCTTCTGGGAGCAGCCCAACCTCAACAAGGGCCCCTCCCCGGGCACCATCTTCTCCGCGCTGCCGCCGCTGGGGCCCCTCTGCAAGGAGGACGGGGCGGACGGACCGCGAGACGCGCTGCGGGGGGCCAACCCCGCCAGAGGTAGGTGTTGGACGAGAGCTATAGCTGTTCGGAGAAAGGGGAAAACTCCCTCAAAAGTTCTTCCTTTTTTGGAGAGGAGGGTATCACTTGGTCGTGGTCTGGCAAACCAATTCCCATATGCATATGCAGTGAAGCTAATAACAGCCTTGGTGAGCTCGAATAGAGCTTCGTTTTTTCCTCAACCCCCCAAGTCTCCAAAAAGTAGCAAGTGTTCTGTTCTGTTGGCGGCCACCCTCTGCGCTACAGCAGCTTTGTCAGCTCCGGTCGTGCGCGCCGCCAGGTAGGCAGTCCCGGCGCACGCAAGAGGCCGCTGGCTGCCTACCTCCACGGCGCTCTCCGCTCGCCCGACCCAGAGCGGAGCGTAGCCGCATGTCGGCGCGCAGCGCGGCGTATCCTCCGGTCGGTTAACGGCTAACGGCCGCCATCACTTTTCATCTTTTGCAGGTCCGGGACTCGGCGGCGGCGAACTCGGGATGCAGGCGGGCAACGGCCTCGTCACGCACTCCCCCGCCGACACGGACCTCCTGTTCAGCCTGTTCCGCTCCGTGGAGCCAAAGACCAACCTGCACAGGCGAACCCGGGGCAGGTGATCATTCTTCCATGATGAGGAGAAGCCGAGGGGTACTTCACTCGAGAAAAACAGTTTACACCCTCCAAAATAATCAGAAAAAATGAAATAAAGAAAAATCAAGAAAAACAAGAAAAATCGATGTACACTTGAATTTATAGTGAAGCACCCCTCGGGAGAAGCTTAACTTCGCACGCAATCCCTGTGGTAGCTTAATTGGCTGAGCGATTAGCGAAGCCCATTACTCCAGTGATCAAAAAGTTTCGCGTCTGTCTGTGTGTCTGTGTGTCTGTGTGTGTGTCTGTCTGTCATCACGATAACTCGAGAACAAATTGAGCTAGCGACCTGGGATTTTCAGGGTCGTTTTGTATCATAAAAAGACAGATCAAGTTCGAAGAAGAGCATTTTAGCTCAAAAAATTGATTTTTAAAAAATCAAAAACCACAGGTCCCCAAAATGACGTTTTTTAAAAATATTTTTTTTAATGTTTCCTAAGGGGTAACTCACCAAAGTAGAGCCCTGTGGGCGAAAATTTCGTCCGTTTGGCTCTATCTCTAACCGTTGAGGCGCCAGACACTGTTTTTCACACGGAAATGACCCCAAACCATTTCAATGTTTTTTCTCAAATATTTCATTGGGTCTGTAGGGTCAACTCGTCAAAATAAAACACTGGGGAGCAATAATTGTGACTTTTGGGGCCGAAGGCCTATTTACGACTCTTTCTTTATCCCGACTCGGGTGTCAGCGCCGCAGGCCTAGGTAGATGTACGCCAGGCGCGTCGCAGCGTGACAGTGTTTCGTGAGATATCGCGAAGCCTGTTACGCGAGACGTGGTCTGGCGTACATCTACCTAGTAGTTTTTGGAGCGACCTTGTGACTGACCGGACGCGCGTGGGTGTGTTTTTGTGCCCCTCCAGGCCGCGGCGCCCACCCCCAGCGCCGGGCCCGGGCGGAGGGGCGCAGCGCGACGACGACCCCTGCCTGCTGGGCAGCCTCACCAGCACGCTCACCACCTCGCTCTCGCTCGCCTGCGGACACATCGCGGTAAGTGGCAAAATGAAAAAGAATAATTTATATCCAAGAAATGTTTTTAGGTCATCATTTCCTTGAGACCAATTTTTAACCATTTTTCGGACAGTAATACTAATACGTGCAAGTCGGCACGAAAATTATTAAAATATGAATTGGTTCAATCTTGTTCCACTGAGCTTAAAACAGCAACTTCATTGGGAGCAAAACAGACCCCCTCTCTTTAGAGTGTGTGCACTTCTGCTCCTATGAGGATTTCCGGAGGATTTCTTACCTCGTTCGTAGAGTAACTCCTTCCTTATGATGCAGTGCACTAATTTCATTCTTCCGGGTGCAGGACGGCCGGGACCGGGGCGTGTCCGCGCTGCGGGGAGGAGCCGCCGCCATCACCGTCGGCGCGGACAACAACAACTTCGCCCAGATCCTCTCGGACCTCGTTGTCAAACTGTGATTTCGACACTGTGACTTATCTGTTGTTCCTGTACTTACCACTTACGTTAGAATTTAAAATAAACCTCGCCAAGTGTAATTTACTGGCCCAGCCGTCTTTCATTTATTTGCTTTACGAAATTGGTCGAAGCCTGACACCTAGCGGACAGTTAACGATTTCTGATCCCGTAGGTTTCGGCCCCGAAGCCGTACGGGGCCGAGTGCACGGCGCGGCAAGTTCCACGGGAGGAAGAGGGAGAGAGGGTGAGAAAGCTGAGTAGGGTGGTGGCGGGCCACTGAAGACGTACTTGCTCGCCGCGGATAACTATCAAACAGAGCGGCACGTGGTTTTCAGTCTCACACAACAGGGCTCGAAAAGCCGCAATAACGAATCAATTTCGAAAGCTCCGCTAGAAAGGGGTTTCGGGAGCGTTGGAGGGGGAGGCAGTGGGTCGGGGCTCCTCGGCGCCCCCCGCCGCGCCCTTCGCCGCGAAGGCTCTCGCGTGGGCCGTTCAAGGACGCGACGCGACGCCCTGGTGTCCTAGCCTTGGCTCAGTCGAGCCGCGAACTATTCAACAAAATAAATGTTTAAAAAACCTCCTCATTACGATAATTTTATTCCAATTTGTCATGCAATTGAAAAAAAGTAGTTATAACCCCGTCCCCATCCCAGGCGGCCAGCTCATTTCGCCATCAGACATCATTCCTGTCTGGAGGTCGTTGTAGGCGGATTTCCGGTGCCGAACTTTCAATTAGAATTCTGAGAAAATTAGCCATTTTCGTGATGAGCCCTGTCTGAAGGTTTGCCCATGCGGAATGAATTGAAACCCTTGATTAGTCGTCTGCCCCCACCGAGGCCCCCCTCCCTTTATCTCTCCCACCCCCTCTCCAGAAAACGAGAGACGAGCCCCCAAAGAGGAAGGGGTAGGGTAGGCGGCGGTCAGGGGGTGTGTACCCCTGTACGCGTCAGAGCGAAGCCACTCAATGGTTTGATTGGAGGGGGGAAGAGGATGCAAGCGACGATAGCGGAAGAGCGCCCAAGAGAAGGAGAGGGAGGGAGG